GTGGCAGCGATCTCTCTATTCAGTTGGGGCGGAGGGCATATGTCAGGCACCAAAAATCAATTTCATGTCACATCCTTCGCTCCTCATGCTTTTGTTTCTTGTCCTCACGTGGTCAGCTCCCCGCTGACTGAGCAGCATGACCAGCATCATGTTCGCGCTTAAAGAATAATTCCCCAAAAGGTTTACTGTTAGGGCTTCTCACTTCTTTCTTAAGATGTGTCCCCCCGCTCTGTATTGCTGTGTCCGTCTCTGCCTTGCAATCCTTTACATTTATCTCCCAGCTCTGGACGTCGCAAGCTCTAGTTTCGATTTTGAAAAACACAAACTGTTTGGGGTCTACGGTGGCGTAATTCTTTCTCTCGTTTCTAAGGCTTTTTAGGTGCCTATTCAGGTTTTGCGCGAGAGCGCCGCAAAGCGGCCGGGTGTGTGTGTGTGTGTGTGTGTCACCCTCTGTTTCTAAGAGTTTTCTGCAAGCAGGGGGCCACCGGGGTCCCAGAGGAGCGGTGGCCAACGAAGACCTCCTCTGGGACCCGTGTAATCGTACCTGCTTTTTTAAGTGCACAAACCATTTGTTGAAACACCTTCAAGTATTTGGAGCCACTCTTTCCTCGAACCGCCGTTTCGTGAGCTGCAGATGTGCACAAACCATTTGTTGAAGCACCTTTAAGTATTTGGACGCTTCACCTTTCCGTTGAGCCACTCTTTTCCTCGGGGAACTGATGCAACTGCAAACCCATTGTCTATGTTTCTGTGTGACGAAGGGTGAGGACTCAAGCTATCCTTGCGACAAAGCAACCCGCTCCAGTTTTGGACAAGAGACTTCTGGTGTTTCACCAGCCATCACACACACATATATTTATAGTGTGCACCTGGTGGCGAACACACACACAAAGGCACTTTCGAAGCACTCGCTCAAGCAAAGTGCAAACCGTGCAATCCAGATCATAGACGAACAACTAATCTCTGAAGTACTCTTTGTTGCTGTTGCATGCGGACGTTCGCAGCATAGTAGGCCTCCTTTGGGCCTCCCAACCTTGAGACAAACCAACATGTGCATTTTTTGGTTCCCCAGAACTAGCTGACCGTATTTTGAAGTCCTGCATTCGACCTACCTTTATAGGTAGCACCAAACAGCCACAGCTCTGTGCAGGCGATTTCTCGAACGAGGGCAGCCTGGAGGAGGCGCACGAGTCTATGTGGGTTGTAGCCCAGCCGTATTACAGGTCTGACGACAGATGCACTTGATTTGTCGCAGGCTTGATACCTGCGGAAGACATGCTTTATGGCTGAAGTGGGAGAAAGAGGGTAGAAATGGGTGGAACATGGTGGAACTTTATGGAAACCGGGCCTGTTTTACTACCCTGCTACATTTGGCACATGGAACTAGAACAGGTTGGACGTTTGGTGGGTGAGATGGATTTCCTGCGACTTGGTGAATCTTTGCAGAGCCCCAAGTGCAAAGGAAAGCAAACAGGGTCGATCTTGCGTGCATGTCACATGTGAGAGGGGGAGAAGCACGCCGGCCTATTGGTCAAAGGGCTGAAGGGCTTCGCGTGACTGCCGAACTGGCGCTTGGGCCCACCAAAGCAAAATCAATCACAAAGGGCTTGTACGGAAGCACATCCCAAGGGCGGCCAAACTTATTCCAACGATTTCCAATTCTAACAAATGGGCTGACGCCAAAAGACATTATTGAGAAGCCCTGCATCTGCTTGCAGATCCTTTAATGCAAGAGGAGGGTTTGGAGCAGAGCAGCTACAGTATCAAAGGACAAGGAGGCGTCCAACACCCAGAAGGACGGTCGATATAGGAAACAGGCCAGGCCGAGGCAGCCGCACCGACTCAAGCCTTTCAGAGATGCTGAACCACTTGATTGTTGTGTGCTTGGGTTTTGCCTCATCTAAAGCGTAGAGAGAGAGAGAGAGGGATCCTTGGTTGATTTCGTGGGAGGTCATGGATTTCGCGGCCTGGTTGCGATCACTACCCTACCGGTACAAAGTGTTGCCGCCCAGTTGGAATCTGTCGGACCCGTCGTGTTTGAGGGTTTGGTTGGAGGGTTTTCGGAATGGGCCCCTAGCTGGGACGGGTCACCAGACCAATCCGACTTCAACATGGCACCGGGAGTTCCATCAATGTTGGCACCGGGAGTTCCATGGCACCGGGAGTTCCATGTTGGCCCACGATCGAGGCTTTCTTTGGTCAGTCATCAGTTTGTCAGTCGACCCTGTGAAGCTTTCTTTGGGTCACTGAGCTCAGGATCGCAGGCAACCACGAACTGACCTTTGATCAAGCATACACCGGCGATCGAGTCGCTTCTCCGCAGTAGATTTTGCACTGGCTGCACTGGCTTTTTGATGCCTTTTTGGCAGGTTAAGGCATGACGGCTGGAGTGTTGATGAATGGGTGCATCCAGGCGTGCCACCATACTTTGCACCCAATAGGAGCATGGGAGGGACGGTGTGGGCGCAATGCCACCTCCCCCTCCTTTTGGTACTCTTTTTCGCCACAAAGGCGAAGCTGTTTATTCCACAGACAGTGACTGAGGTCAAAGGGACGGGCGACGTCTCAGTGCGGAGCGTGTTTCTCAAGTCCTTCGATGCCAGCGAGCTTCGGACCTGCAAAGCGGTTGGAGAACGTCTTCCATGTTTTGTCCTGGTTCAAGGCCTCAGCCAGGAAGGCTGCCGTGGGCCGGTTTGTGGCGGAGCCCTCGGGTTCGCTTTGGTTTGCCGAAGGGCATTTTTTTGAATACATGCCGACAAAAACAGAACCTCAACCAAAGAGAAGGGGGGGGCAGGGCGGCCAACAAATTAGAAACTGCCAACATTAAACAATTGCAAACCGGAAGTATGCAGAACCCATGTGGGCGTTGTTTTCTTTGGGCATGCAGCAAAACATCTCAGGTTGACTACACGATCATTTGGCACGCTACAAGGTATGGGAAACCAGTTCAACCTGACAATTTGATGTTCCAAGGAGGTGCTGTCCACTCCTTTTGATACTTTTGGCTACGTCGTTTTTTTTTTTTTTTTTTTTCGCGACTGGATCACTGAAGATTGGCGCTCAACTGTTTTTTGGGGTTTAATTTATGAATGCTAGTGACATTGCATATAATTTTGGCTCAGTTTTTGACTCACACCACCTCATGACACTTGATTGAAGGGTGTGAGATGGGTCTGTTGCGCCCAATCTCCGAATAATGTTCAAACTTAAATTGGGTTCTGAGGAGGTTCAGAAATGGATTTGGTCGAACCAATGATCGGGTCTCCTCTCCCGGATTGGCCCTGCATGTGAGGGCTGGCCAAAGTGATGGTAGGACATGGGGTAACGAAATGTAACGAAGGTCTATATAAATTAAACTCAAACGGCTAGATCGGCTGGTCCGACAAGCCATGATCTCTCACAGTAGGGGTGTACTCACTGCGATTCCCCTGAATTTGCCAGTTGATGTTTCATAGAAAACCACGTATCCATTGATCAGATCAGATAGTGCATTCAAAGTTGGTTGTGTTTCTGGCCTTTTCCCCTGCTTGATCGCTTGATGGATCGCTCCTAATTGAACCCCCTTGATGAATGTGCCGAGGATGGTGTCATCTATTTGGAAGATGAGGAGGTCGTGCTTCGATTCTTGGCAAGTTACATCTATGGGGCCCAGTGTTGGAACTGAAATCCCAAACGTCGCAGCATTTGTGTGTGGTGTCCGTTCGCCAAAAAAAAGGCAAGTCTTTGTATGGTCATATGATGTCATATGGTTATTTAGATCCCAGCCCCCATCGACGCCCAAAAACTCATAGCGAGCCCTAGCAGCAGCGAGCTTCCGCTGGATCCGGACGTCTGAAGGTGGCGTGCGGATTTACGGGACCCCTTGGCAGCCGGAGTTCCTGGATTGGGCCTTCAACGTGCCACGACAATCCATCAAGGAGAAGTGGAAGGTGCGAAGACGGACTTGGGAACCCTAGCTCATGAGCCCTCACCAATGCGTTTGATGCATTTTGCTCAAGTTCCGGCCACGTGGGGAGTTGACCATTTGGTGAGGTCGTCCTTTGGGTCTGACGACCGCGATGCACCGCGGAGGTGATCCCCGAGAACCTGGATGTGCTGCTGGTGCATGGCCCGCCATTGGGCCGTGGCGATGCCTTAATGCCCTCCATGCGACGGCGCGGCTGCATGGACGCTGAGCGGTCGTTTTCAAAGAGAACCGGAACGAAACGGAGTCTGAAGAACACCGAGTGGTTGGGGAAAACGAGGTGCTTAGCTGTGAAGAAGGTCTAGCAAATAGATGAAGAGCCAGTGCCAGGGACTCACATTTGTGATATGATATGTTTGCTCATGTGTTCTCTTCCCTCACTTCAGCGGTGGGTTGCAGCTCTGAATCGAGTTCTCATGTTGAGCAGGCCCAATGGGGGGCCATGTCTTGTGAACTCTACTGGCAATTGCGACTTTCTTGTCCACCGAAAGACCAATATAATATATATATATCCTCCAAATGGATCTGACTGAACATCCACCACCACCCCATTTTTCACTCTCGATTCTGAGAATTGGCCGTGCAATCCTCATTTTTCACTCACAAAACACCTGAGTCCTTTTTTTTTTGCCGTGCCATCTGAGGATCTGCTCTTGGAAGTCCAAGAGCGGATCAAGCCGCAGTTCTGCGTCTTCGGACACATCCATGAGGGTGCGGGCGTCACCTTTGATGGTACCACGTGCCCTGGAGAAGGCGATGACGCCCCTCCGAATGCCCTCGGGCGATGACGCCGAAACGGCAATCCGCAGGACCCACCAGTCCCCCTGATCGATCGCAGTTGGGTTCAGACACCCGCAGGGCATCAACTGGTAGGGCATCAAACTGTTTTTGGTCAAAAGTATTTGACCAGTCAACAGTCCAAGGGATTCCAGGGGTTCTCAACTCGAAGAGGACTTTCCAAGTGGGTACTTGGCAAAAAGCACACCCAAAACCAACGAATGACCAACGTCTCACCAGTTCAGTACCCAAAGGAACGTATTCGCTGAGGCACTTTGTCAATGCCTCCTCCATGAACGAGCACTACCAGTGTATTCATGCGCCCCTGGTGTTCGACACTGGGAGAAATAGTCCGAGTGTATGACTGTCGTGTTCAGTCCCAAGGATTCCGAACCCACCAACAGTGGTGTCCTCCGTGTATTCGCGACAGTCAGAGCTACAAAGCCCCATGCTTCAGAAGAAACATGAAGCATCGAAGACACATAGATAGACTAAATATGGACTTGATGCATCCCCTCCTATTTGACTTGGGTGTAAAGTTGAATGCATGCACACACACAACTACTCAAGTCTTCATTCAAATTTACTCTGTAAACATTTGTAAACTAGAAGAATCTGATTAAGCCATCCAATCAATGCTTACTTGAGAAGTTGTAGCGACTAACTTGCAGAAACATGAGAGGATGATCCACATGTGTCATCTTCGCCTCAGGATATTCCGACCGTGTGATGCCATGACCGCAATGCTCGACCTTGGAAAACAAGCGAACAAACATGCTGTGAACACGAATCGGCGTCAGTGCCGTCCTGGTTGACGCATTGGGATTTCTGCGTTTGCGCACCTGCCTCGCAGAGGTAGGTCCTTGAGGATGACTTGGCCACCTGGACCTCGTTGGTTCAAGAGGAGCAACACATCGAACGCAAGTGGGCCAAGAACTTGAACGCAAGACTAGGTGACAGAACCCAAGCAGATACTATGACGCAGCAAGTAGAACAGCCAGCTCTCCAACAGTAACAGATCGGGGGCGGGGCTTGATGTCTTTCTCCCAAAGTGGTGAGCCATCTGCTCTCCAACGTCTTGCCATCAGCTATCAGCCCCCTCATTGGGGGACTCCAACTCCAACTCCAGTTCTTGACTCGAAAAAAACTGTTCAAAGCTCTTGAAGCTCATTGAAAGCTATTGTAAGTTCATTTTCTAAGACGAATCCAAAGGGCTGAATGCAACCCGCTGCGCTCCATGTGAGCGGTTTCGCGAACGTCGCGGTTTCCGGACCGTCCCCGCTTGGTCCGGACCGGTCGCACCACGCGGTGTCCGGACCCGGGCGCTGCATGGGAACGGAGTGCTCAAGGTGCAATACATCGGAGTGACTTGCCCAAGGGAGTTCGGAGTGCTGCGAGACCGGAAGGGGGACAATTCGGAAGATGAACGAAAGCCATGAGACCTCTTCAGGTGGCGAGTTGTTTGGGATCTGTGGCCAACCAACTGCTTTGGGGGTCGGATTGGGTCGTTCAGAGCGGTGAAGGATCCCAATTTGGAGGACTTTTGGGGTGAGGCATTGAGGCGGAGCCGAGCCTGCCCGGGCCTAGCAGGACCCTTTTCGTGATCAGTGATGATTAAAGTAATCACAGTTCTGTTAATCCGTCCAATGTGGTGCCTAGCAAGGTCAGATTTTGCACATGATACCTCGAGGACCGTAAACACCCTTCTCCAGGAAAGGTTCATGGGAAGAGAACTCTGTGGTATTGGTCCCGCTAAAGCCCTCAGGGACCACCTCTATTCAGGTCCACTTGCAGTCATCAATCAGATGTCCCCTCAACTGTGAAGAACAATCACCAGTGACTGGCTACTTACACTAAGGTCTTGCAATCCCTGCGAGGAGGTGCACAGTCCGATGTTTGACAATGTCAGAAACATGTCAGGTGCTAAAGAGACCAGACTAGTTGGCTGATGTTCCAGAAGTGCAGATGTTTACTTGCCGCGTTGTTTGCGGACATCAGAATGCGAAACAACCAATCATAGTGAATATGAGATTCACCTGATTTCACCCGTGTGTATCCTTCTTCCATGGAGCTCCGGTTCGATTTTTTTGATAAGGAACGTGTGTTGCAAGAGGCATTTGGTGATGCATTGAATGTGACCCTTTTTTGTCACACCAGGATGGCCCTCGACCACAGAAGCTGCGGGACGTGCAGGTGGGCGCAAGCTGCGGGAAGCGTGTGCCAATGTGCAGGGTTGTCGAGTTTATGAGCTCTCAACTGTGTAGACAGGAAGCAAGAAGCGCAGTCGACCTCCATTTTCCAGTCATTCTCACTGTTTCAATACCCTTTCGCACTCGATTGCTGAACCGGATCTAGTGCTCTTCGGGACGCTTTTTTCACTGGATGAATCGAACCGTTTCTTCGTTGAGGTGGAGGAGATGGTGCAGGTGAGAAGTTCTCGCCCTGCCCGGAAACTGCAGTTTCTTTTTGATCGTTTTTTGTGGTTGATGTGAGCAGTTGGCGTGAGCAGATGTGAGCAGAGTTTGTTAGTAAGATTTACTTGTTGTGTCGATCAACGCAGAGTTTTCGATCTCTCAAGCTGAGCCAAAGTTGTTCGAGGTGAACCTAGTTGTCGGACCTTTTTCTACGTGCAGCGCAATTGCCAGTTTGGGCTTTGCGCGTAGGACGCGCTGAAAAAACATGCCGAACAAGAAGACAAAGAAAGGAAAAGAGCGCCTTGACAAGTTCTACCATTTGGCAAAGGACCAGGGATATCGAGCTCGCTCAGCTTTCAAGCTGATCCAACTAGCAAAGAAAAACAACTTCTTGTCGAAGTCGAAGGTGTGCCTTGATCTTTGTGCCGCACCAGGTGGTTGGTCACAGGTGGCGCAACGCAACATGCCAGTTGGCTCCAAGATCATTGCGATCGACCTGGCTCCAATCAAGGCCATCCCAGGTGTTACCTGTATACAGTCCGACATTACCACCGAGAAGTGCCGACAGTTGATCCGGAAGGAGCTTCACGGCGCATCCGCGGATGTGGTCTTGCACGATGGTGCACCGAATGTTGGCACCTCATGGAGCAAAGATGCTTATGACCAGGCTGAGCTCACGCTGCACGCACTGCGATTGGCCTGTGATTTCCTTAGGACTGGTGGAACGTTTGTGAGCAAGGTCTTTCGATCCAAGGATTACAACTCGTTGCTCTGGGTTTTCAACCAGCTCTTCAACAAGGTTGAGGCGACCAAGCCAACGGCCTCGCGGAATGTCTCCGCAGAGATCTTTGTGATTTGCCTTGGCCTGAAAGAAAGCAGGAGCAGGATAGACTCCAAGTTCTTTGACCCCAAGTGGGTCTTTATGGAGACTGTGGAAGTTCTAGATGAAGGACCCAAGAAGCCAGGAGCAACCTTGACGGAGCACTTTAAGAAGATGAAGAAGAAGAACAGAGATGGCTACGAGGAGGGGGATGACATGCGCATTGTGCCGGCGCATGAATTCATTGCCTCGGACAACCCGGCTGAAATCCTCATCAAGGCCCACAAACTGAGCCTCCAGGCGCCTGGGTGCGAGCCCATAGCGCAAAATGCGCTGACCACAAAAGACATCGAGGAGCTTTGCGGAGACTTGAAGGTTTTGGGAAAATCGGACCTTTCAAAGCTTTTGAAGTGGCGCATGAAGCTGCTCAGAGAACAAGAGAAGAAAACGAGAGAAGCCGAAAAGAAGAAGTCCGAAGACCCAACCACTTTGGCGATTCGTGCCAAGGCCAAGGTGCAAGCCGCACAGGCAGCTGCCAAGAAAGCCGTCGATCGAGGCTTAGCGCCTGACCTGGATAGTGCCATTGCGCAGTTCTTGGATGGCGAGGTGAAGGCTGAGGATGTCAAAGCCGCAGAGGAGGCACCCTCAGATTCAGAGGACGAGGCTGCTGATGATCGCTTGGAGCAGGACTTGAAAGACCAGATTGACAAGAGAAGAAGGGAGGATCGAAGAGATGCCAAGAAGATCATGAACAGACAAAAGAAGCAGGAATGGCGCAAAAAGATGAGCTTGGTCACTGGGAAAGGAGCCACGAACGAGCAAGCGGAACTCTTCCGTGTGACAGACAAGGCTGCGAAGGCTTTAGAAGATGCATATGCCATTCCTGAAGAATACCTCGAAGAAGAGCAAAAAGACTCTGATGAGGATCAGGGCGAAGAAGCCAAAAAGAAAGCAGAGCAAGATGAATCTGATGCTTCTGACTATGAAGATGATGATGAGATGGATAGATTAGCCAGAATGGAGGTAGACTTGGCCCTAGATCACGAGCTGCGAAAGGCGCAACTGACACACAAGAAGCGCAATGCCACACAGCGCACAGAGAAGGCCAAGAAAGAAACCCGCCGGCAGCGGGTCACACAGAGCTGGGCACAAGAGCTCACAGACTTTTGTGATGTCCAGCAGGGTGACGCCCGGCAGATGCAGGCCCTTGGGGATGAGAAGGATGCGCTTGAAGACGAGGATGACAGCGATGATGATCTCCAGGCTCTCCGAAAATTCCAGGAGATGATGGACAGTGGCGGCAGTGCTCGTGTTGACGGCGCAGCGCTGGAAGCTCTGGCTGAAGGTCCATCGGATGCTAATGGCGGCTTGTTGTCCAGTGCCTCAAAGATGAAACGTATCGCTGCAGCTTCCGATGAGGAAGAAGGCGATGAAGAGAACTTGGCGGAGATAGATGAACCTGAACAAAGGAAAGCCTTAGCGGACCAAGCTGTCGAAGAGACCGCTTTGGTCCCACATGAAGAGGAGTTGAGGGGGGGAGCAGCGCGCCCATAGATGGTTCAGTCAAGACATCTTCTCCGGCCTCTCCAAACGTCAGTCAGCGCTGCGCGAAGTTGACTCTGACAAAGAGTCGGATGAGGAATCAGTAGAGGGGGAGATGCGGGAGCTCAGTGATGCACAGCTGCCCAAGCTGCCTTTGACTGACAAAGCGAAGCGACGGCTCGAGCGGCAGAAGAAGACGCAGCGCCTCCAGAAGCTTGGCATCAAGCCCAAAAGCACCCCAGAGGAGGGTGAAGAACGAGGTGCCTTGGAAGTCGCACCAATGGAGCCCCCAAAACCGCTGGTGCCTGTGACACAAAAGCCCTCAGATCCGAGGGAATTGGCCGAGACTTTGGCCATTGGAGCTTTGTTGGTTGAGTCGAAGAAGTCCAGAATGGAGCTTCTGGACGCGGCCTACAACAGGTACACCTTTGAGCCCAACGAAGCCTTGCCTGTTTGGTTTGTTGAGGACGAAGAGAAGTACAACAAGCCAGAGTTGCCTATCAGCAAGGAGCAGATGAATCAGTTTCGTCAAAAGCTTGCTGAGATCAGCCGAAGGCCCATCCGAAAAGTTGTGGAGGCGCGCGCCCGCAAGAAGAAACGCATGGCCAAGAAGCTGGAGAAGTTGCGATCCACAGCAATGGCGCTCACTGAGACCTCTGACATGAGCGAGCATGCCAAAGCAAGGCAAATGCGCAAAGCTGTCAGCAAATTGGCCAAGCAGGAGCAGCGCCCTGTCACCAGTGTGGCCATCAAAAAGGGTGGTGGGGGGCATAAGCTTGACAAGAAGAAGGTGCCCAAGGGTGCCAAGGTGAAGACGGTGGATCGAAGAATGAAGGCGGACCTACGGGGTGAGAAGAAGGCTCGCAAGCGAAACCCTGGACGCTTCAAGATGCAGCAGCGAAAGTTGCAGCAGAAGATCAACAAAGGCAAAAGGCGGGGCAAAGGAGATAAAGGAGACAAGAAAGGAGGAAAGAAACGAAAGCATGGAGATTG